TTCCTTCAGGACGGGCTGGCTCTCTGGCAGGCTCCCTGTAGGAGACAGGAATTCCTGCTGAATGGAGTCATCACCTCCCCGCCGGTTTGACCCAGACTATTTGCACAATTTAGGGCACCCTGAGACCTCCTTTTCCCTTCCCAAGGCACCCCCTCCCCCAAGCGCTGTGTGCAAGAAGACAAACTGCGCACACTGAGCTATTTTTTGCTTTCGTGGCACTTGTCAGCAGCCGTGGGCTGCCTGCACGTGGCCGGTGCGTGCTCCTCGCCTGAGCGGCTCCCGGGCCTTTCCCCGAGGGCTCGGGAAAGGGAGTCCTTGCCCGGCAGTGCAGATGTAAGTGGCTCTCAGTCTGCACCCCCAGCTGAAGTCTCCCCAGGCCCACCCATGCCTGCAGCAAATGTGGGCCCATCTGGAGGGAGCGGATTAGGGGGTCAGGCAGGGGAAGGAGCGCCCTGGGCGGCCCTCTGTGCTTCCTCCTTAGGCTTGCTGAGGAAACCAACATGGACCTTAACCGTAACCACCTTTCAACCTGAGCCAGTGTGGCAAAGGTCGTCTCTCCTCTCGGGGCTCCTTCCTGTCCTCCTGCGTGACCACCTCCTTGACCCCGCCCGCCTGTGCCTGTCTGAGCCCCTCTGAGGATGGCTTCTCGCTTCTCTGAAGCTTCCATCCCCTGGAAACAGAAAGCCGGCCACATATGTCATGGAAATGTCTGTAATACTTACATTTTAAACAAGTAACAAGAAACAGGTAAAATGAATTTCAGCAATATCTTACTTGACTCCATCGATCGAAATACCATTGAACAGGGAGTTAGTTAGGCAGAAAAGCCACGGCTAACTCCTTCCTACTTTAGGTTTTTAAAACGTTTCTGACATCCAGGGTATATTTTACATTGAAGTCCTCTCCTGAATGGGATGGGAAATGTTTATCAGAAACATTTGCTCTCGATTCAGTTACTAAGTTACTGAAATGGTCTGTGGCAGTGTGGTGCCTCTGAAGACCCCTAGTGAGTGTCACCATCTTTCCTGTTGTGAGCCAACACGACTATAACTAAAAGGGTCAGAATCAAATGAGTGAATTAAAAAAATTGATTTGTGGGCCCTCCCTGGTGGCACAGCGGGTTAAAGCACAGCACTGAGAAGCTAAAGCCACTTTCGCATGAGTTCGATCCCCGCCTGCCCCAGAGGTGACCACATGGCGCGGCAGACCTCTCCTGACCCGCCCACTGCTCCCCTCAGCAGTGTGCTTTGTCGATCTGCCTGTTCTGCTCCCCACTCTGTCTCTGGTGAATCCTCTCACCCTCCGCATCTCTGGCCTGTACCCCAGTTCTGTATGAATAAATAAAAAAAGAAAAATTAATTTGCTTTTGTAAAAGTAGATTCTGGGCCTCCCTCCCTCCCTGGTGGCTCAACGGGCTAAGGCACAGCTATGAAGCTGTGGCAGCCACTGCAGCAGGAGTTCGATGCCCGGCCTGGAGGTGACCACAGGGCGCAGCAGACCTCTCCTGTTTCAGCTGATCTTCCTGTTCTGCTCCCACTCTGTCTCTGGTGAATCCTCTCACACCTCTGGCCTGTACCCCAGTTCTGTATGCGTAAATAAATAAATCTTTTAAAATGTAGATTCCCATCCCCAAGGTGGCCCAGACCCACATAAAAGGTTTTCAGTAATTGGACTGAGTGTTAGATTTTAATTTTAAATTTTTAAAATTTGAGCACAATTAAAAAAATCAGTTCTGCAACGGTCCTGTCCACCTGTGACAACGCAGGTGCCTCTCTCTCCTTTTCCTAATAAACCTGCCCCTTTAAAATGTAAAATAATAATAATAAATCTTTAAAAATTCAGTTCCTGGGTCCTCCCTGGTGGCGCAGCGGGATAAAGCACAGCACTGAGAAGCTAAAGCACCTTCAGCATGAGTTCGATTCCCGCCTGCCCCGGAGGTGACCACAGGGCGCGGCAGACCTCTCCTGACCTCTCCGCTGCTCCCCTCAGCAGTGGACTTTGTCGATCTGCCTGTTCTGCTCCCCGCTCTGTCTCTGGGGAATCCTCTTACCCCCTGCACCTCTGGCCTGTACCCCAGCTCTGTATGCATAAATAACTAAATCTTAAAAAAAAAAAATTCAGTCCTTACTCACATTAAACCACATTTCATGGGCTCCGTGTGCTCAACACCCTGGGGTTGGTGGTGACACACTGGACAGCCCAGCGAGAGATCCTTCCCACCCTTCTAGAAAGTTCTACCAGATGGGGCAGACGTATCATGTCCAGGGACCTCCAAAGGCCTTTCCGGTTCTTCTGGGCTCTAATCCAGCCCTCAGCCTTATTTACTGGTGTATGCTCACTTCCTCAAGCCTCTGGTTCCACTTTGAATTGCTGTGTCCTCCCTGCCGCAGAGAAGCTCCCCTTGGGCTCAGCCTGAGGCAGGGGGCCCTTGACTCCCTGCTTCTCCCTGCAACATGACCCTTCCGGGGCATGGAGCTCCAGGCAGGAAGCGTGGGAAGAGAGGTGCAGGCCCGTGGGAGCCTCGGCCCCCCACGCTTGCCCTGGGCCTCAGCTCCTGTCTCCCGAGACAGGCCTGAATGGCTCTCCAGGAGCCGCCCTCACCCTGCCCTGCCGAGACAGCCGAGCACAAAGGCCCCCAGTGTGTCCGGCAGGAGCACACCCTGGCAGGACCGGGGGTGCTAGGCCGGCACCACCACCACTGGGGGACCCTTTCTTGGCCCTCACTCACACAGACAACTATGTGCCTGTCTGGCTTGTGTGCCAGGCTTTTAGAAAAGACTGACATATGCAGGCGAGAGCGGGCGGGCTGTGCAGTTGGGGTTTCGCAGCGTGGCCCACCGAGCCTGCAAAGCCAGCCCCCCTCAGAAGGACTGGCCAGCTCCCCCACTCCTTGCCCCCCGCCCCCGCGCAGCTTCCTCCTTCCAGACTCTATTTCCCTCTCCCGAGAGGGGCCACTTCCCTGACTTCTAGACCCCGTTCATCTGGCTGTTTCTAGAACTTGCTGTTGGTGTCTTACTCAGCGCTGAATTTTGAGTCAGTGGTCAGGGTTTGGATGCTTTTTCCTTTTCTGGCACCTGACATGCTGTTCGTGAAACCTCAGCGGTTTGAGCAAAAGGAAAAAGGGCGAGCTGTGAGTCGGCGTAGTTGGTGGTTACAGTGTGAAGAAACGTGTAGACATATTGTTCTTTCGCAGTGTTTTCGGTTTTTGGCGATTTGGGGTGGTGACTGTTTGCTTTTTATCTTGGTTTTGGGAATCTCTTGCTGAGGCGGTTAATTCTTGGGTCCTGAAGGGACGTTAGCTTCCTCAGGCTTTTGGACAAGACTGAACACAGTCAGTTGCTCAGAGTTTCTGTCTGTCTGGCAGACGGAGAGATGGGGGCGGGGCCCTCCCTGGTGGCGCAGCGGGTTAAAGCTCGGCATTATGAAGCTCTCTGCAGCCACCGCAGCAAGAGTTTGATCGCCGGCCAGGGAGCTGACCCACAGTGCGCGCAGACCTCTCCTGACCTGTCCGCATCTCCCCTCAGCAGTGTGCTTCAGTGGGTCTGCCTGTTCTGCTCCCCGCTCTGTCTCTGGGGAAGCCTCTCACCCACACCACCTCTGGCCTGTACCCCAGTTCTGTGTGCATAAATAAATACATCTTTAAAAAAAATAAAAATGGGGTGGAAGAGAGAGATTCCAGTAGACTTTCTCACGCTGCCCCTTCTGTTTTTGCTTTAGGTAAAATGTCTGTTCCAGGACCCTACCAGGCGGCCCCTGGGCCCTCCGTGATGCCAAACGCGCCCCCTTCCTATGAAGAGACGGTGGGCGTTAACAATTACTTTCCTGCACCACCAGGCCCGGTGCCCGGGCCCACCACGGGGCTGATGACCGGCCCGGACGGGAAGAGCGTGAACCCTCCTGCCTACTACACTCAGCCGGTGCCTGACCCCAACACCAACGCAAGTACGTGTATCCCCAGCCCCCTTACCTGCTGGCCCGCCGTCTGGTTTGGGGGACCCCTGAGCATTAGGGGAGCCGCTGAAGTGACCCTGCCCGAGATCCAAGTGCCCAACCTCCCCCCAGCCTGGTATCCCACTGCTCCTGCAGGCTTGCTGGGAGAGCGTCTGTGCCGAGTCGAGGCTGGAGGGGAGGGAGGCACAGCGAGGGTGGGGATCCGGGGGGCTGCAGCCCACCCTCAGCACAGCTTGACCTTGGCCTCCCAGCAGCTCTTTGCAAGGGTCTCTTTCCTGCGACCCAGGTATACTCAGGTCACCTGACCTGCTGGGGCCTCAGTTTCCCCATCTGTAAAACAGGGCGCATCATGTTAAGTAAAGGTCTATGTGCCCTGCTGACATCTTGCCCACGTAACTGACCCCTCGAGTGGAAGAGGACAGGTAATGTCTTAGCCCCTTGAGTGGACACGCTCGTCCGTCACGCACTCACTCCGGGGCCGCCGGCTGCTGGCCTGTTGGGTGAAGGTGCTCGCTCTTTCATGCTGCTTCCTGAAGACAGGGTCCTCCTCTGTGTTGAGGTCAGTGGGCCTGGGCAGCAATTTGATTCCCAAAGTGAAGAACAGAAGCGAGTCATTTGGACAGAAACGGGAGCTCAGCCCATGCGGGGCACACCGTCACCGTCGCTCAGATCCTCGCCTGATTGCTGTGGTGTCGAAACATGCTTTTCACATAGTTTTCTCTGCTTAGCAGGATTTCATAGGCTCCTTTCATGTATCAACACAGTCCCCTGACTTGTGCGGAGGGACCCTGTTAGGGAGCCAGGGGAGAAGCGTGAATGTCTTCCCGAGGACTTGTTCTGCCCCTGCTTATCTTGTGACACTGGGCACAACTGGCACTTCCTCTTTTTATTTATTTATTTTTAAGATTTATTTATTTATGCATACAGAACTGGGGTGCAGGCCAGAGGTGCAGGGGGTGAGAGGACTCACCAGAGACAGAGTGGGGAGCAGAATAGGTCGACTGATGAAGTCCACTGCTGAGGGGAGCAGCGGGCAGGTCAAGAGAAGTCTGCTGCGCCATGTGGTCACCTCCGGCGTGGGGTTCAAACTCATGCTGAAGTGACTGTAGCTTCTTAGTGCTGTGCTTTAACCCGTTGCACCACCAGGGAGGGCCTGCTTCTGCTTTTTAAACAGCTTTACGAGATGTAATTCCCGTACCATAAAGGTCACACTTCTAAAGCATATAATTCAGTGGTTTTAGGACCTCCACAGACTTGTGCAAGCAGCAGCACTAATTCTGGAATGTTCTGGAACATTTCTGTCTCTCCAGAAAGAAGCCCTCTATCCTTCAGAGATGGTCCCCTGTGTCCCCCACCCCACCTCTGGCAACCACTAATCAGGGTGGAAAACACTGAGGCTAAATGCTGTCTGTAGAGCACCTAGATAGAACAGTTCAGAGGGCTTAGAAAGCAATTTGGAGATCTTGCCCCAGACCAGCTGAATCTGGTGATCCCAGGGGCAGGGCCAAGGAATCTGCCTTCTCAAGGAAGCTCCCAGATCCAGAGGCCAGCTGTCCTCTGCCCTCGTGTTCAGAGCTCCTCGTTTCAAGAGCTGATTGAGTCCTCATTCTGGAAATCCCAGTTTCCTCTTCCCATTTTTGTAATTTTTTTTGCATGCGTGTATGATACACACAGCAGGAACTTGACCCCATCGGCCTTTCTGAGAGGCAGCCATGATGTGAAGTCCCCTCATGGAACTGTCCTGCCATCCCACTACCTGCTCCAGAATTGTACTGAAACTCCATCCCCATGAAACGACTCCCCGTTCTCCTCACTCCATGCTCCCCACTAGCTCCTGATGTTCTACTTTCTGTCTTTCTGGAGTTAAAAAATATATATATTTTATAGAGGAACTGGGGTGTGGGCCAGAGGTGGGGGGTGAGAAGATTCACCAGAGACAGAGTGGGGAGCAGAACAGGTGGATCCACTGAGACACACTGCTGAGCGGAACAGTGGGTGTGACAGCAGAGGCCTGCTGTGCCATATGTGGGTTAACTCCCTGGCCGGGAATTGAATTCAGGCCTGACGGGGGTAGTGTTGAGGGCTAACCCCCCGGCCACCAAGGAGGCCTGCCTTCATGGAATTTGATGACATTATAAGAGCATCCACCTAATTAGAATCATACAGGGTTTTTCTTTCTGGGCTAGCTTATTTCACTCAGCACAACATCCCCAGGCTTCACCCAAGTTTTAGCCTGTGCCAGGATTTCTTTTTCAGGGCTATATAGTAGTCCATCACATGGTTACCCGTTTTGATCATTCCTTTATCTGCTGATGGACACTTGGGCCACCTCCACCATTTGGCCACTGGGACTAACCTTGCTGTGAACACAGGTGTGTGGATACCTGTGGAGCCCCTGCCTCCGCCTTTGTGTATTCAGCGAGGGTTTTATCTGTGCCCTGATCTGCCCGGCTGGTTCTCTTCTCTCTTGTCAGTTGCTGTGCAGACAGTCTATGTGCAGCGGCCCGTGTCTTTTCTTGACCGCCCGATTCAGATGTATTGTCCTTCCTGCAGCAAGATGATTGTGACTCAGCTGTCCTACAACGCCGGTGTCCTCACCTGGCTCTCCTGCGGGAGCCTGTGTCTTCTGGGGTAAGTCTGGGGTCTGCTCAGCCACAGGCATTTCAGAATTCCTCTCTTGCTGGATCTCCCAGCTCAGCACACCCTTCTGTGTTACGGGGTCATCCTTTGCACGGTGGGATGTTCAGCAGCATCTTGACCTCTGCCACCATTGGCATAACCAGAAGTGCCCCTAGGGGGGTAAAATGGTGGGCCCCACAGCCCCTGGAGAACCAGGCCTTGAGCATCCTGGCTCCTGGAACCGGCTGTTCCACTGCTGCTCCTCGCGTCTGCTCCCCACTCCCTGCCTGTAGGGACAGGAGGGGAGCGCCTTGCTCTGTGGGCTGAGATCCATCCTGAGGGGCTTCCTTTCTCTCAGACTTCATGACCTAAAGAACAATGTCTGCCTGGCTCTGAGAGACGGGGAGCCGCTTTAAATAATCTGCATGTTAAAATACTTCATAGCAATCTTCAAAGCTTCTGTCCACGCATGACCCCGAGTATTTCCCCATTGCCTGCGCAAGGAGAGCGGGTAAATATGTACCAAGGGTATTATACCAAAAGATAATAGATTTTCTTCTGGAAGAAATTTGAGGAGGCACCATGAACTCCCCTACCCCAAACGGGTCGCCTCATTCCTAGCAATTGGGGGTCTGTCCGAAAGCCATGCAGGCCCCGTGCTCCTTCTCAGAGGAGACGGTGTTCGGGCATTTTTTTCAGGATGGCCTCCTGTGCACATGGCTCCTTCCTCATCATCCTCACGACTTAGGTCAGGAAGCAGCGGAGTTTCTGTTTGCAAGTGGGAGGACAGAGCATAATTCACTTCCCTAAGGACACGTGTTCCGTGGGGAAGAAAAACTAACAGGCCCTGGGCGTCTAGTCTCCCGTCTCACTCAGGACAGATGAGTGTCATTTCGTTTCTCCCCAGATAGAACATGCCAAACATAAGTTCGTTGCCTTTGGACACTGGTATTAAGACTAATTTTTATTTATTTATTTTTAAAATTTATTTATGTGTACAAGAATTGGAGTACAGGCCCAGGGTGGGTAGGAGGATCCCCCAGAGACAGAGTGGGGAGCAGAACAGCTAGATTGACTGAAACACACTGCCAGGGGAGCAGCGGGCGAGTCAGGAGAGGGCTGCTGTGCCCTGTGGGGAGCTTCACAGTGCTGCGCTTTAACCCTTTGCGCCCCCAGGGAGGGTCCTCATTTTTATCTTAGAGATCAAGGATAGGCAGAAGGGAAAGGCAAAAGCTGGCCCCCTCCTCCTCTGCTGTGGCTGCAAAGACAGCCTCTCACTGCTGTGTGGCTGTGGGCAGGTGGCTTCTCCCCTCTGTGCTCTGTTTCCTCCTCCGTAACCTGGAGCGAGAGCCGTCGGGGCTGCACCCTGAGCGTGTATGGGGTGCTGTGGGTGACCTGCGTGGGCTGTTCTCTGTCTTTGAATCCTGGTTGCTTAGACAATCGAAGGAACTTTCTTTGTGTTTCCTCAGCAGGGTGTTTCAGGATTCTGCTTTTTGTAAATTTGTGCCTTCCTGTCAGAGATTGATTTTCTTTTTCATGGAAGAAATTTAAATTTTTTAATGTGGAGAGTTTGCCAACACAGCTTTTGGGTATCAGTGGAAAGTACCGCCGGTGACCCGCAGAGGCGGGGTGGGACTTATGAAGTTACAAGCCACAAAGTAGGCGACAAAGGCCACCAAGTGGAAATCTAGAACCAAATGGTTGACAGTTAAGTCCAAACAGGTGCTCATTCTTTGCTAGCAGTAAAATTTCCTGTCAGGTACAAAGGTGTAGCTATAACGGGAGAGTTTAAAGAGGACAGTTCTATCTGGAAGGATCTATCTGGGCCAGGAGGGGGTAAGGATGGAGCAGAAGCTGGATGAGGAACCACAGGCTCAGCCATCAGCAACCTCACGTGGTGGCGAAGGCCGGTTAGTCCCCTTGCCTGCAGGGGCCGCTCTACACGGACGCTTCCAGGTGTTCCTTCAGCCAGTCTTTCTAGGCCTCCCTGTTTATCTTTTTTCCTAAACCCACACTAGGTAAACTCATTTCGGAACTTCAAATGAGCTCAAGGTTGCTTGGAGTAATTTTGTTTGTTCTTAGGTGTGCATTTATTTGTTTGTGGAAATTATTTTATAACAGTTTATTTTTACATCATTTTGTACTTTTTTTTTTTCCATCTCAATTGTAATCCCCGCGGGTTTCCCATCACCATGCCACCCGTGTGGAAATTTTCTTACTTTTATTTTTTCCATCTCAGCTGCAATACTCTGGGCTTCCCATCACCAATTCACCCTATGCCATCACCATAGCATTTATTTTTTTAATGAGAGTGAACACAATCCTTATAAAGAAAAAAGTAATGAGGCCTAATATCAAATAATGTTGAGTTAATATATCGCAAATCTGCCAAGCTAATAATTATTTTCTTTTTTTTTTTTTCAAAAAATTTTTAAACTTTATTTATTTTTATTTATGCATACAAGAACTAGGGTGCAGGCCAGAGGTACAAGGGTGAGAGGATCTGCCAGAGACAGAGTGGGGAGCAGAACAGGCGGGTGTACTGAAATACACCGCTGAGGGGAGCCCCGGGAGACAGGAGGGGTCTGCTGCGCCCTGAGGGTCAGCTCCCTGGCCGGAGATGGAACTCAGGCCACAGTAATTGGCAATAGATTGATAGCACTGAGAGTTAACCTCTGCGCCACCAGGGGTGGCCCCACAACATTTAATATCGGATACAACAGAAGGGTGACAGGGTCAGGAAAGCAGTTATTTGAGAACCGGGATCGTGCTCTGGGTCCAGTAGGCTGTCAGGGCAGGGGGGGGGGGGTTTATAGGACCAGGGCACAGGGGGGTTTTATAGGACCAGGCAGGGCAGGGATTATTTGTTTGAAGTGTGTGTTGCTTGCTAGAGATGTTGCCACGATGGTGGTGGTGGTGGGGTCTTTGTTACCCTCGGCAGAGGTGGTTTCTTGTGCCCTTCATAGTCATCGATAGTGCAGACACCCATCACTGATGAGAAGAAGTGGGCCGACAGGACTCTCAGTCACCGCAGACGGGACCTGGGCCGGGCAGACGGGGCCCGGGCCGGGCAGACGGGCCTGAGTCCGCTGCTTACTCAGAA